GGGGGGGTCACATGTGGGTGTATATATGACACGGGGGGTCACATGTGGGTGTATATATGACACGGGGGGTCACATGTGGGTGTATATATGACACGGGGGGTCACATGTGGGTGTATATATGACACGGGGGGTCACATGTGGGTGTATATATGACACGGGGGGTCACATGTGGGTGTATATATGACACGGGGGGTCACATGTGGGTGTATATATGACAGGGGGGGTCACATGTGGGTGTATATATGACACGGGGGGGTCACATGTGGGTGTATATATTACACGGGGGGTCACATGTGGGTGTATATATGACATGGGGGGTCACATGTGGGTGTATATATGACATTGGGACACACGGGTGTGGTGGGATATAAGACACGTGGGGGACACGGATGTGGCGGTACCTGGAACAGCAGATCCACGTGACGGTGAAGACACAGGACAGGGCAGAGATGGCGCACCCGGCGAAGGTGATGGCGGTCAGGGACACGAGGTGGATCTCGGATATCACGTGACTGGAGACTTGCTGCCACGGATGAGAAGATCGGAAAACACATTTACATGAGTTGGGAAATAATAATGACACGTATGTAATAATAAGCCACGTGACGTGTCCGGGTTCCTCCGCTCACCATCAGCACAGCGAAGTAGGTGAGGTGGTCACAGCGACACTCGGTCCAACACTCGGCGGCCACGGTCCTGCACCCGGCCGTACTCCACTCCGCCGCCGTCTCTGCAGGAGACATACAACAGGCTCACACGTGTCATAGTGACCCCCCCCCCTCATCTCATCATCACTGACATGGGCCACGCTGGCATATAACTGGCCCCTCCCCCCAGGACCTTACCCTCCATTACACGGCTTGTGGGGGCCGGCCACTGACAAACATTACAATACACGGGTGATGGGGCATGTTCCACGTCCTCCACCAATACCCAGAATGCCTCTGGTCAGGCAGCATGGAGGGTATATGTGATACGTAGAGACAGAACATGTATGAGCGAAACACGGACAGCCCACTTACCGTCCCAGAACACGCAGATCGGAGACACGGAGTCCTGAGGAAACACAAGAGACACGTTACCATTCTGACCACAAATAAC